TTAGTTATCGATCCTGCATGAGTTGATAACTTGATATGGTAGAAGCCAGTCTCATTATAAAGTTATTGGTAACGGTCTTAACTAGGGGAAAAATATTTGTGAGGGAAAGCCCTTTCTTATGTTGTGATTACTACGTTCTATCTATTTCTTTTGTCCTTGTCTTGAACTGACTTTTAGATCCATGTCATTAGATAAATGAAGGTGATGGGGCATTTTATGGGCCAAAGATTGATATCAGTGTTTCTGATGCAATGAGAAGGAAATTTCAGTGTGCAACATTGCAGGTTAGTATGTTATTGCTTTCCTCATTCTTTTTTCATTTCTTCTCACCTCCAGTGATTTTCAAAAGGCGAGGGCATGAGGTGAAGATTTTTCATTCACTAGGGGCAGCTCATGTGTGCCTGTAGCATAGAGCATAATCTCAACAAATTTTGATATTTAACCCTTGTTTGAGCCCCATTTTTGCTAAGAAAATGCATTTTTGAATAGTGTAATGATGTGAAATGTGTGGTTGAAAAATAAAGAAAAGTTTTAGATTTTCGTGTAATATTATTTTATTGAAGAATGTGTGGTTGAAATGATATCAAATCACTGTTTAAAAATGTATTTTTTCAAAAAAATGGGGCTCAAACAATGGCATAAATATTTCAAAAGAAATAGTAATAATAATAAATTAAAATGCTAATGTCATTAAAAATAAAAAGTACACTTTTCACAACTTGTCTGAAAAATGGGACTATACTATCACAAAGTGGTTTTAAGAGTGTTTAGATGAGCACGCGGTCATAAAATATTTATAGGAGTATGAGAAAGTAACAATAGGATAGAAGTTAAGATTATTCAACCCACTCGAAATTTTCAACCCCAGCTCCAAAATTCCTTACAATTTGGACTTCCAACAATAGATGAGCTGAATAGAATGAGAAGTCTCTGTTAAAACCTTAAAAGGCATTTAGACCTTTGGTTTTATAAAAGCTATAAATGTATAAAGGTGTCATAACCTGTTGAGTTTCATCTATGATGTTTTGCAGCATCATAGGAAACCTGAATATTTTTAATAATCCGAAGGTGATAGATAGTGAAACCATTAAGACAATGGCGGGAAGTGTGGTGGTTACTTGAGATATCCTTCTTTCAGAGAGATATGGGAGAGGGTTCTCTTCTTCCCTCTTATAAAGTGTGTTGAGTTTGACATTTTAAGGTTGTAAGGGCGTCAGGAGGGAGTGATTTGTTTGAGAAGATTGTGGATTGAGCCTTCTAAAGTAAAAAAATGCCTTAACAAAATGACAATCTGTCAAGTGAATGCCTTGAATGCCAGTTGTTAAGCCCTGGAAACTTAAAAGTTTGACCCAAGGTCCACAAGTGATTGTATCATCCAAGCCCCATAATACTCGAAACTCCAATACTCCCGACCAGGACATTCTGGATAACCCACCTGTGCATTCACCCTGATAATGCTTTTGAGCGTGGAACCTATCCTTTTTACTGTGCTTTTGAGCGTGGAACCTATCATTATGGTTCAAAAAAATTTGCATGTTTTGCTTTTTTTGGGAAAACTAATTTGATTACTCGCATGATAATTATTTTGTTGTTACAGCTGGACTTCCAACTTCCGGCTCGTTTTAACTTGTCTTACTCAGCAGAAGATGAAACGAAGAGGGAGAGACCTGTTATGATACACCGAGCGATTCTTGGTTCTGTTGAACGAATGTTTGCAATACTCCTGGAACATTACAAGGGGAAATGGCCTTTTTGGCTTAGCCCTCGTCAAGCAATTGTTTGTCCTGTCTCTGACAAATCCCTAACATATGCGCTACAGGTTGGTTAGCTAGTTGCAAGTACTTTGGTCCTTCACTAATTTACTTGTGCTTTATTAGTTGATTGATATGTACCTTTGATTATGTACCTTGTGCACCTTGATGCATTAGATTACGATATGTGCCTTTCTATCCTTGCCTTCTATCCGACTATTATTTTTCCTCATTTTTTCTGTACTGGGCTTCTGGCTACAAGAGTGAAGCACTATCCTGTTAGATAATGCTAGTCCTTATTCTCAAGTTCAGCTTTACAAATTTGAATTATGACCATTTTGATTCAACATTTGGTTTAAAAGAGGAATCTCACGATGATTATGGAGCTATTAAGGCCATTTGCAATCTCTCTAATTGAAACTAAAACACTTGGAATTGCTCATCTTTCAGTAAGCACCCATAAAAAAAAAATAATAATAAATAAATAAATAAAGAGAGAGAGAGAGAGAGAGAGAGAGAGGGAGAAAAAAATGCTGAAAAAATTTACCATGAACTATATATTTTGTTTTTATTTTTTTTACTAGATTGTTGTCATGAAGGCTTCCTGAAAGTTTTCACATCATTATATTTTTTATATCGGATGTAGGTACGAGACCGCATACATGATGCTGGTTTCTATGTTGATGTTGATACCACAGACAGAACAATCAATAAAAAGGTAAAAGGCTATTCCCTCAGATCTTTATTAATACGATGGTAATTGCATAACTGCTACGACGTTATATTCAAGCAAGGATTTTGCTTGTATTTATGAGATGAAGTTAGATTTGCCTCCTGTCCTACAAGTGCTTGTTTCTGTTTCCTACTTGGCAGTTTCTGTGAGCACCTAGTGTAATCATCTACTTGCCAATGGCCTTGTATGATTCCCAAATATCCAGTACTTCTTTTTGATCTAGATTTTGGAAAACCGATCCTTTTGCAAGTCTATTTGATTGCATAATGCAAGAAGGTTGACGATCTGGTTAGAAGTTATATATATAACACAATATTTTTTCCATTATTGCTAACTTTTTTCCACTTTAGATTTAGATTTAGATTTGTATGGACTGCAGTTTTTCTTTCTTGGTTACATGTATGACCTGTTAAAACAGATAGATAATGGAATGCTCCTTGATTCTCATATGACACAGGCTTGGACAAATTTATTTTCATTAAGAGCTATATTTAAGCATTCTCAAGCTAAAGGTGGCTAAAAAGCAATAGCTTTCTAGGAAATCCAAAATTACACCTGTAAACCTAATAAATAAATTACACTCGACAACCTAACAAATTAATCTGTTTGTGATTGTCTATAGACTGTATCGTTAGAGTTAATAAGGTAATGTTTTTATGTTAAAAATTTTGCTGTACTGACTGGATGATTGCATATCGTTTTAGGTACGGGAAGCTCAACTGGCGCAGTACAATTATATATTGGTTGTTGGAGAGAAAGAAGTTGCAAATGGGCAGGTTAGACATTTATTGACAATGTTGAAAGCATCAAGTATACATGTATTTTCATTTCAAAACATGCTTTACCATACTGATATAGTTGGCTATAAAGGATTAAATGTTTGACAGATAGAGAAGGTAACTATCCTAGTTTAGTTTTCTTCTCCTTCATTAAATACTCTGCAACTCCAGTATTTGACTTCATACACGAGGCTAACCATTGTTTGATGATTAAATTGATGGAAATAAGCATGGACTGGTGGTAATTAACTGGGCTCTGCAGTTTTCTGTCTCCCTAGGATGACTGGCTTTGCATCAATGTCAAGTTTGAAGATGCTAATCCCTGTTGGACTTTGCTACACGGACACTTCAACTAGAGTAGCGTAACCGTGTCCCATGCATGTCGACACGTGTAGATACCAACACTCCTTAGACACTATCATAATCATTTTTCTATTCTTTATTAGAAATATTATGCCCCTATTTGGTACAAATTAAAATTCAGATTTCAATCTAAGTCAAATTCAACGATTAATTTTAACTGCACATTTTATGGGACACATAGCATTTCAACCACAAATTTCAATTACTTTTATCAAAATCTACTAAAATTCTGATTTTAATTCCCACCAAATAGGGGTTATATATTTTTAACTCAATTATTAGTAAATAATAAACAGGTATTCATATTTAAAAAATTTCAAGAAAAATGAATAACTATAAAACTAAATTTATATTATATAAATGAAAAACATTAAAGAATTTAATTAATGTGTCGACAATGTGTTGTGTCAGTACTTTTTAAAAAAAATCTCGTGTTGGCGTATTCGACACGTATTATGTTGGACATGTGTCCATGTCGGTGCATCATGGCTATTAGACCTGGGTTTGGTATTTTTCAAGTTTTTGCATAGCCTGTAATGCTGTTAGACATTTAGTTGCCATCATCCGTCTCAATGAAATGTAAACAAAAATTGCCCAACTATTCATTAAAACATTGGTTCTAACAGAGTTTTGTACAAAATGTAAATGATTCTGTAAATTTGTTTTGGGGGGGGGGGGGGGGGG